GATAAGTGATCAGCCACATAATTCTCTATTCCTTTACGATCTCGGATCTCCAAATCAAATTCCTGCAAGAGTAAAACCCAACTGATTAGCCTTGGTTTAGCATCTTTTTTCCGAACAAATACTTGAAGATTGCATGGTCTGTGTAGACGATGACTTTCGTTCCTATCAAATAGGCCCGAAATTTATCGAACGCCAATACTACAACAAGCAACCCCTTTTCTGTCACAGTATACTTTATTTGAGCAGGAGTAATAGTCTTGCTTGTGCAGTAAATGGAATGAAAAGATTTTCTCCTCCTCTGGCCCAACACAGCCCCAACTGCACCATCACTAGCGTCACACATCAGCTCAAATGGCTCTTTCAAGTCAGGAGCCACTATGATTGGTGCACTCACTAACTTCTTTTTCATCTCCTCGAATGCTTTTAGACAAGCATTGTCAAACTTGAATGGCACATACTTCTCTAACAACCTGCACAAATGAGAAGAAATTATTGAGAAATCCTTTATAAATCGGCGATAAAAACCTGCATGTCCCAGAAAACACCTAACTCTTTTCACGGAAATCGGTGGTGGCAACTTTTCAATTGCTTCCACCTTAGCTTTGTCAACTTTCAATCCATCTTTGGACACCTTGTTCCCCAACACTATACCTTCACGTGCCATAAAATGGCGCTCTTCCCAATTCAGTATCAGATTAGTCTCCTCACACCTGGCAAGCACTTTAGCAAGATTGGTCAAGCATTCATCAAAAAAAGGACCAAACATAGAAAAATCATCCATAAAAACCTCTACAAACCGTTCCACTATATCGGTGAAAATAGCCATCATACACCTTTGAAAAGTCGGAGGTGCATTACACAACCCGAATGACATTCTCTTAAATGCATAAGAGCCATAAGGGCATGTAAAAGTGGTCTTTTCTTGATCTTCCAGGGCAATAGATATCTGATTATACCCCAAATAGCCATCAAGGAAATAATAGTATTCCTGTCTGGCTAACCTGTCAAGCATTTGATCAATGAAGGGGAGGGGGAAGTAATCTTTTCATGTAGCATTATTCAACCTCCTATAATCTATGCATATTCGCCAACCAATCACAGTTCTAGTTGGGATTAATTTATTTTGTTCATTCACTACAACAGTCATAACCCCCTTTTTAGGTACACATTGAACATGGCTTACCCACTTACTATCGGAGATGGGAAATACTATACCTGTGTCGAGCCACTTAATCACTTCTTTTCTTACCACCTCTTTCATGATTGGAATTAGGCGGCGTTGATGATCCACGCTAGGCTTGTGTCCCCTCCTCTATGAGTATTTTGTGCATGCAGAATGCAGGGCTAATACCCTTTATGTCACATATTGTCCAACCAATGGCATGATTGTGCTCCCTCCGCACCCTTAAGAGCTTTTCTTCCTGCAATTTAGACAAATGAGAAGAAACAATCACAGGCAAAGTGTTAGAACTACCCAAATATGCATAATGAAGATGAGATGGCAAGGGTTTAAGTTCCAGTTTTGGAGCCTTCTCAACTGAGGGTCTAGGGGGCAGGCCGATTGGCCTATCCATAGGCTCAAACTGTGATCTTTCTCTTATGCATTCACAAGATCCATCCAAAATTTGCAATATCTCCACAACCTCTTGTTCCAGTTCCAAGTAATTGAACAACATCAATGTCTTTTCTAGTGCATCTTCTTTAAATGCACTTGGCTCCGGCTGGTTCATTTATCTTCACTACAGAAATCATGGACAGGTCCTCTCGTAATGATGAGGCAACTGAATGGCTCGATATACATTAAAGACCGCTTCTTCATTGTCCACCCTCAGGATCATCTTACCTTCTCGGACTATGATAATGGCATCTCCAGTGGTCAAAAGAGGTCGTCCCAAGATGATAGGAACTAACTCATCAGCCTCGTAGTCCAGGATGACAAAATCTGCAGGGAAAACAAACTTCACAATCTGCAGCAAGACGTCCTCAATAACCCTCCTAGGATAAACATAAGATCTGTCAGCTAACTGTAGTAGCACCGTGGTGGGTCTCGGAGCTCCTAATCCCAATTGTTTGAACACTGACAACGACATCAGATTGATACTTGCACCCAAATCACACAAGGCTACCCACATCAATTTCACCAATCCTCACGGGGATGGTAAAACTACCCGGATCCTTAAGCTTTTGTGGAAGCTTATGTTTAATCCTGGAAGTGCACTCCTCAGTAAGTACGCCGGTCTTAAATTCAGTTAACCTCCTCTTATTTGCCACTATATCCTTAATATACTTTGCATATTTTGGGACCTCACAGAGCATGTCCACCAAAGGGATGCTCAAGTGTATCTGCTTTAGCATATCTAAAAATTTGTGAAACATATTGTCATCATTCTTCTTTCTCAGTCTTTGAGGAAAAGGAGGAGGCACCCTTCCTGATATTTGCTCAGACTTTATTTTGTTTCTCTTATCTACCTCTATATTTTTTGGCACTCTTTCTTCTTCGAGCCCAAACTGCTCCTTTTTCTTCTTAGGCACTTCTACTAACTCTCTCCCATTTCTCAACGTCACTGTATTGACTTTAGGATTTTTCTCTGTATCACTTGAGGGAGCTCCAACAGGTCTAATATTCTGATTGTTAGCTATTTGCCCAAACTGCCTCTCTAGATTTCTGAACTCTGTGCGCAATTGTTGATTCTCAGCCATAACTTTCTGATTGTCTATCAAGAGCTTTTTAATCATGTCAGTCAAACTCTCTTCTGATTGCTGTAGAGGTTGAGGTGGATGATTATAATTCGCTTGAGGCCTGATGTTTTGATTTCCACCCCAAGAGAAGTTAGGATGATTCCTCCAGTTCAGATTGTATGTGGTACTATATTGAGAATTTTGATTCATCGGCCCTCTAGCTTGTTGCCCCACGTAGTAGATGGATTCAGGATTCACGGGGCATATGTCACTTGTGTGACCTTCACCGCAAAACTCGCAGCAAGTAGACATCTGTTGCACACGCTGCATCTGTTGTGCTTGGTGCATTGTCATCTTATTCATCTGATTTTTTAATCTCGCTATATCTTCCCTCAAGGCTGAGAAATCATCAAGCTCGATCACACCTGCTGCCTTTTGTTTAAGCGCTCTTCGTGGTTTCCCATCTTCATGCCAATTATTATCATTAGCAGTGAAATTGTTTAGCAGGATCTGGATCTCACTATACGGTCTTCCCATGCAACTACCCCCACATGCTAAGTCAAGATTCATCTTTGATTCCTCGTCCAACCTATCAACTAAAGTGTGACACAACACCTCATCAGTCTGACAATGATGTGGGCAGTGTCTGAGTAGCTTCTTGTATCTTTCCCAAGCTTGACGAAGAGTCTCGCCGTCTCGTTGTTGAAACCCAAGAATCTGGCTCCTCAGCGACTCTGTCTTCTAAGGGGAAAAACTTGATTAAGAATTTCCTTGCTAGATCATCCCAATTGTGGATTGAGTTCGCGGGCTCCTTTTGCAACCATTCCTTAGCTTCCCTTAGCAGTGAAAAGGGAAACAGTGTCATCCTGACATAGTCCTTAAAAATGTTCGGATAATTGTAAGTGTCTGTAATTTCAAGAAAGTTCTCATTGTGCCTCTACGAGTCTTCATGAGATAGACCCACATATTGCCCTGTGGACTGAATCGGATGTACCATGTATTGTTTGAGTTCAAAGTGACCAGTTATCTCAGGCTTCACAATTGCCTGTGTCATATTAGCAAGATTGTGCCTTGCAGCTTTTATCACCGGACGCCCTTCATTACCTGCCATCTCTATTGGTTGTGGTTGAACTACGATGTCCAACTCTCTTTCAATTCTAGTTCTAGCTTCAACTTCCCTCCTCACTTTATGAAGTGTTCGTTCGATCTCAGGATAAAGCGGAAGGATATTGTTTTCGCTTCCACTACTCCGCATTCAACAGAAGAGCATGCGTTATCACAAATAAAGCAAACTAAAAATTAAACCTTGAACAAATAACGAATAAAAGCTTAACTTAGATAAACAATCAATAACTAAGTCCCCGGAAACGGCGCCAAAAACTTGTTGGTTCCCCAAGTACACACAAGTATACGTGGCTGTCAAGTAATAAAGTGACTCGAAAGTCGGATGTCGAACCCAAAGAGACTTAGATCAATTGTCAACTAAGCAAACAAAAAATAATTAAAAGTCCAAGATATTTAAGAGTGATGTTTTTCTATTAATCTATAATTGCGGAAATTAAACAAGTAACAACTAATTTATCAAGAATGCAAATGTTTATGATGAGATTTTAATTCAGAGGAGGTGAAAATTCAAGGATTGTGGTTGGTTTATCAATCCTATTAAGTTCCATAATCACACTCGTTAATCCAAATTATCTATGGTTGCTAATTAACCGGATCGTTTATATGAATAGCATGTTCCAACAATACTACTCGCCTGCTCACAAAATATCAATCATATATTCCTATGGTATTGAGTCTATCATGAACGAATATAATACGGTATTCAATTAAGCAACACTGTTAGGTATATTCTTATCCTAACCGCGAAATCGTCCCCCGAGCCACGGGTTCAGAAACAAGCTCTCTCTAATTCTATTCTAATCTAAACACAGCTTTCCCCAAGCATAGCATAGATAGTAGGGTGAATTGGTAGCTACAACAATTCACACGTTAAAACTAGAATTAAAGAAACAACCACAATATGATAATCCGAATTAACGAAGATGTGCTTAGCCACTCATGTTCTTAGTAACAATTTTCTAAGTATTTTGCATAAACAACTTACAAAGAAAAGATAAATGAATGAAGAACTCGCTGATTTTCTCCTCCGAAAGTTGTTCCACGTGATGTTCTTGCCTCCGGTCGCAAAAACACCTCTAAAAATGTTGTTTAACGATTATTTATATGTGTAGGGAAAAAAAACTAGACGAAATAACCAAGTCCAAAACCAAAAAGGATACAAAGTAGGCTTTAAAACCCGGAACACCCTCGCTACAAGCCTCACGGCGCGAGGCAAAACGCGAGCTTCATCTCGCTGTAGCCCATGCGACGCAAGCTCTGTCGTGCTCTTGAATCCTCGCCTCGCCTGCTCTAACGCGAGCAAAGTAGCTCGCTACGCCTGCTGCTGCTTCGATTCAATTTTGTTGCCTAACATTTCCAATTCACGTTTTTTTTTCTTTTTTCAATTGTTATTTTTGACTTCTTTTGATTTGTCTCTTTTGTCTTCCTTTATAATGTTAAACTTTAATACCAATATATCCACTAATTAAATAATCATAACTCCATTCTTGTAGTGCATAAAATACACATAAAATCTCTACTTTGCTCCCAATTTCGTCTTCAACGTACCTACACATAAAATAAACTCAATTAAGCACAAATATAGTATAGTTTAGCATTAAAGCCCCAAAATGTAAGGTAAGTAATGCACTAAAAATATGGAATTATAGCCAAACATCACTACCCCACACTTAAATGTTGCTCGTCCTCGAGCAATAAAACTACCCTTTATATAGACATGACCTTTTTAAACAATTCTCCTAACTCATCACACCAAGAGTCTTTAAAATAGACTAAGCACAAGGGTGTAACATCTTCACCTCAAGATTTGGCTCACAAGTACCATTCATTATTCACTACTCACTCACTTACTCTAACATAGAGGTAAATGACATTATTACCTTTCCTTCATGAATCAAGTGCCCTCACACAACAAAAGAGAGTAGTTCCACACACATTAAAATTTAAGAACAATTATTAACTCAAGATAGGAAGAATTCACTCACTCTTAGAAATAACATTCATATGCCACAAAAGATGCACCATAGGCTTGCCCGTAGTGTACCACTCTACTAATCGAGCTCATTCAGTCTAGGATCAAGTATGACTTTAATTGTTTGTAATGTAGGTTGCAGGTCGGGTAAGATACATTTGGCTATAAGAGTGACTACACCTCCCTAAGCACTTTAATACAAATACTTTAACATTCAAACCCCATACTTATGTCAAACCAAACTCCACCTTCACATCTATGTATATTACTCCATACTTCTTTTAAGCACAATTACATCAAGAGTCACCACTATCAAGGAATATTTTTCACATCAATACAACTATATATATTTTTTTTCTTTGTTTTTCAATTCACGTGGCTCTTAATTTTTCAAAACAGTGCACCTCTCTCCTTATTTCATTTGTTCCACTCAAAAGCCAAACCAACCACCCCACACTTTAACTTTTACAAAGTTCACTGCAATTCAAGTGCTCATGAGAGGTTAAAATGTTCAAATAGATGGTTAATTCAAACAAATGTGTAAGTCTTGTAATGTGGTTGCCAAAGAAACAGGATTACAGGCTCAAACAGATTAACTACGATACATAACAATTAGGCGGGTAAACTATATATATCTGGCTCAATAAAGAAATGCCTATATCACTTCCAAGACTGAACAAAACTACTATTTCGCTTTGCAAACACACGGGGCAAGTTCTAGACATCAAATGCAATGCACAGAATAATACACAAACCTCACACACACCTGACACATAACTCACTCAGGATCGGACTCATCAAGACACTCTAGTCAAAGCAGTTAAGCAAATTTTAGATCATACAATTTAAGGTACTTATACAAGAGTCAAAAACTGAGCCTAAGCGTCACAACCAAAGTACTCACTATTCTCAAGGCATAACAAAGTCAAGAGATATTGCTTCAATTCAATTCATCTCATAATGGCTCATACTCCTAAAGAAAATAAAACTAACCGCACCCGGTTCAAACAAAATCCTTAGAAAAGAAACGCGGCACAAAGAAAAACCAAGGGGGAATTACTACACTACATACAAAGAAAATCTTTTTGTCCTTTTTCCTTAGACTTAAATCCCTCAAGAAAACTGTCTAGGAGATCCATCGTCTGGAAAAGTCCAATTTTTCTACTTGTTTTTTTTCAATTTTTTTCATAGCTAATAAAAACTAAAACACTACACAACTACAAAAACAAAAATAAGAAGTTAACATTTTTCTAACATCCTACTACTAATTATCTAGAGAATTCTCCCACCCCACACTTAAAAGAGTGCAGTGTCCCCAATGCGCAAATAAATCAAAAAAATAAAGAGGGTGGACAAGAAACTCCCTGAAAGGCCAAAGGCCGAAGCAATAGCGGCTCACGGGGTACTCAGACTTCCCCCATGCATGGTCCTTTGTGTGGGCACCCCACACTTAGTTCTCACCATCTAACTCGATTTTTCACACTTCCAATGGCTTAGCCTCCTATGCTTATAATCCTGCAAAACATAAACAAATACTACAGCAATAATAAGATAAAAAATAAAAATAAAATAAAGCAGTAAAGATGGGTTGCCTCCCAACAAGCGTCTGATTTAACGTCGTGGCACGACACAGAATCTCGTCTAATCATTGGCAAGTAACACCTTCGACTTCTGACGATCAAAGTCACCTCCATAATAGTGCTTTACTCTTTGTCCGTTCAATAAGAATGTTCTCTCGCCACCTAAGACGCGCAGCTCAGTTGCACCATGTGGAGTGACTCTCACTACCTCAAACGGGCCTGAGCATCTCGATTTGAACTTCCCCAGAAATAGTCTTAACCTCGAATTGAACAAGAGAACCAACTGGCCCAGTTCGAACTCGCGATGGTGGATATGCTTATCATGCTAGCGCTTGGTATTTTATTTATATAACTTGCCATTCTCATACGCATGCAAGCAAAACTCATCAAGCTCTTTCAATTTCATCACCCGCTTTCTACCCACTAATTATGCATCAAAGTTCAGCTTCTTTATCGCCCAATAGGCCTTGTGCTCAAGTTTCACCGGTAAATGGCATGCCTTCCCATAACTAGCTTGTAAGGGGAGGTTTCGATTTGAGTTTTGTAGGAAGTCCGGTATGCCCATAAAGCATCATCAAGCTTTGCAGCCCAATCTTTCCTACTTGGACTAACCGTCTTCTCCAGGATCTGCTTTATCTCTCTATTTGTGACTTCAACTTGTTGTGATGACCCAAAAGATCATCTTTAAATTTGATAAGTAATTCTGTGTTCTAAGACCTCGAAAAGCACTATTTATCATTCCTCGACATGCATGCGCAGTCCGTATAAGTTTTCGGAAAATGTTTATGTGAAAACTGGATTATTCTAAGACCTCGAAAAGCACTATTTATCATTCCTCGACATGCATGCGCAGTCCGTATAAGTTTTCGGAAAATGTTTATGTGAAAAATGGATTAAAATATGAAATAGAGCCTTAAAATTTAACTGAGTTGACTTTGGTCAACATTTTGAGTAAACAGACCCGGATTGGTGTTTTAACAGTTCCGATAGGTCCGTATTGTGATTTGAGACTTCGGCGTATGCCCGAAATTTAATTTGGAGGTCCCTAGCTCAAGTTATGACCATTTAACAGAAACTAAAAATTTAAAGGCTAAAGATTTCCAGGTTTGACCACGGAGTTGACTTTTTGATATCGGGGCTGGAATCCGATTCTGGAAATTGGAATAACTCCATTATGTCATTTATGACTTGTGTGCCAAATTTGGAGTCATTCCGGATTCATTTAACATGTTTCGGCACGACATTTGCAAATTAAAAAGTTTAAAACTCAAAGTTCGAATCGAGGTGTGAATTGTAATTTTTAGCGTTGTGATTTGAGGACTCGACTAAGTTCATATGATGTTTTACAACTTGTTGGTATAATTGGTTGAGGTCCGGGGGGCTCGGGTGGATTCCGGATGGTTACAGGATCAAAATTTGGACTTAAGGAAAAAT